TCTGATAGGGTTCGTTACCTTTACTATTAATAATCGTCATTTTTTTTTTTAAAAAAAAAGATTAACAATTATTATTCTTATTATTATTTAGATCAGCCTCCGGACGTTGTTGAAAGGCGTGTTACTATTACCGGTCAACCTGATGACGTTAAAACCGCTCGATCAATGATTCAACAACTCGTCGAAGACGCTAGTAATGGGACTTTGACTAGTCGTCGAGATTCACATAGTGGCGGTAATCGCACTACCATTACGATTCATATTCCCGTTAATAAAGTTGGTGTCGTAATTGGACGCGGCGGGGAAACTATTAGGGACTTGCAAGATAGAAGTGGCGCACGTATCAATGTTACCCCAGATAGCGCAGCTAGTCCCCAATCTAATGATCGTCCTGTCACTTTAATTGGTGATGAAACGGCTGTACAGCGAGCAAAGGCTCTTATCGATGAGATTGTTAATACTGGAGAATCGAGTTCTGATAGGGTTCGTTACCTTTACTATTAATAATCGTCATTTTTTTTTTTTTTTGATTATTACCCATTATTAATTTGTTTCTTAACTCTGTAGAACCATCCTAAAGATTATCGTTCCAATAATTATGGAAACAATTATAATAATACCGACAATAATCACCATGGAAACGGTTACAGCGGTGGTCATTATGGATCTAATCATGGACAATATAATCATCATTCAGGTAAGTCCAGTCAAGATAGTATAACCATCCAAGTTCCGAACGATTCTGTCGGTTTAATCATCGGGAAAGGTATGTTGCAAAATTTTCTACTTTTATTACTTGTATTTTAAATATTAATTAAACCTTTTTGATTTCAGGTGGTGAAACAGTTCGAGCGCTTCAACAACAATCGGGCGCAAAAATTCAGATCGAGCCTGTTCATGGAGTTCCACCTGTAGATCGTAACGTACAAATTATCGGTAAGTCCAAATATATATAAATATTGTCTACTTGTAAATGATAACTTCTTGTCCCCCCAAAATGCTGTAAATTCAATATCAGTCGTTCGATGTGTTTTGCGTTCATGTTGACGTCGCTTGCTGTAGGTACTGCTGAAAATATCGCTATCGCGAAATCATTGATTCTTGAAAAAGCTGCATCCGGAAATGTACTATCGTTTTTGCCATCGCTTGTTGAGTGTGATTGCTATCGTTTTTTTTTCCTTCTAGTTTTGGATATTAAAGGCCCCATGGTCATGATTCGTATTTGATTATTGATCAACTGTGATATATTCTTTTTTTCTTTCATTGGGGTTTATCACTTTGTGTGTTGGAATTAATCTTTTCTACAGCGCGAAAGACAATCTCGGCATAATAACGATCAAGGACGAAAGTAAGTAGAGAAGCGTTGATCTAGTTGGTAATAATGGGTATCTTTCGAGTAATAAGAAATTTATTTTTTCTTTTAGCGATTACGGATCAAGCGGATATCAACAAAGTGGGTATCAGCAGAGCGGATACCAGCAAAGTGGATATCAGCAAAGCGGTTACCAACAAGGAAGTTATCAACAGAGTAGCTATCCGCAAAGTAGCTACTCACCAAGTAGTGGGTACCAACAAGGTGGAGTTAGCAGCGCTAATGTTACTAGCAATAATACTAATTATCAGCAAACCGGATATCCGACCAACACCTATAGCACCAATACTCCACAACAACAACAACAACAACAACAACAACAAACTGCTTATGGGCAAAGTACTTCTAATGATTATGGTCAGAGCACTGCTAGTGGTTATCCTAGCGCCAATACTTATGGAGTAGCAGGACAACAACCACAAACGGCTTACAGTCAATATGGCCAATACGGTACTGCTCAAGCTGCGACACCATACAGCCAATATCCAACACAGACACAATACGGAGCTTATGGTCAAACCACCCAGTATAGTCAATCCACCCCCGGACAACCCGTTGGGCAACCCACTATTCAGCCTGTGATTCAACCCGTGATACAGGCTGTTAATAATCAACCTACTGGTCAACCAAGTGTTCAACCGCAAGGTAACGTATAATTTCTTGATTTTTACATCACCTACAAATTAATTCCATTTATTAATGATAACTTTTTATTATTTAGTTGGGTATTACTCAGCTCAAACGACTACGATGGATCCAAACAAAATTGGATCGGGAAATGAAATTAAGTCCGATGTTCAAGCAGTATCGGCCACACCGAACTACGCTTACCAGCAATATGGATATAATTATGGAACGCCAACTTCAAATCAATATCCAACTGTTGCTACCGGACAAATTCAAACTGCCGCTGTCAGTCAAGCTGCTGGTGGGTATCCTCTTTTAGGTGCTACTGCGACCGCGTATGGTACTCCCACGGCAATCAATACCGGTACGACTTCTAATTCTGCAACACCCGGGAGCGATCAAACTAATCTTCAAACAGCATATTCCGGATATTACGGACAACAACAATATACACAGGATCAATATAATCAACAACAAAATTATTATCAATATTTTCAACAGCAACAGCAGCAACAACAACCTCCTGCTGCCTATAATTATCAAACGACACCTGCTAATCTACCTACGGAGGCTCCAAAGCAGTAAATTTACGTTTCATTCGTAAAAAAGTATTTACCTCTAATGCGGTTTCTTTTGTTGTTTAAACGTGATATCTCCGTCACATCTACAATTGTTGTAACGTTTACACGCAAAGATGATTATATCGCGATCTCGTGCGAATAGTTTTTTTTTTTCTTTTTGACATAACGAGGACATTTTAAATAGATTATATTGGCATGGGCTTCTTTTTTTTTTTCCTTTTTTTTTTTTCGATATATCAGTCTCTTTATTATTATTATTATTGTTATTGTTATTCTCATTATCATTATATTATTGTTTGGTTTTTTTTTTGGTGTTCATTCAAATATCGTGATTATTTTATGAATTATGTACATAGGGGCAGTAAATTATCAAATTATCTGTTTTTAAAAACTTGATTTCAATATAACTGATTTATTAGCAGTATATAAATACAGTATATGAATGCCTGAAAAATATGGTTTAGTTAAAATGTTAATGAAATTATATTATCTATCATCAATCAATCGTGTTATGTAAAAGAATATTGATAGAACGTAATGTTACATACAGTTTAATAGAAATATATTATATAAAAAAAATAAAATTTATTTCTAATTAAACGCTTACAGTAGAAAAATTTTTTTTATTATATGCTCATTATTTAAAAAAAAAAAATATTTTTTTTTTTTAGTTTCCCTTTCTTTTACTAAGTGTCTATATATATAAATTTAAATGAATTTTAAAAGTGTATTTGCAGTCAAATTCTCTAAATGCATTCCCCTTGTGATCATAGTGAAAATTTTAATATGCATTTAAAGAGAAAATTTCTATATTATCTCTATATGCTTTGGACTGAATGAGGGCATACATTTAGAGAGAAAATATTTAGTGTGTGAGGTTGACTGTATATTATCTCAAATTATATTTATCTTTTTTTTAAAAAAAAAAAATCTATTAACCTTTTCCTATTTGATCATAGTGTTGAAGCAATGGAGATGATAAGACACCCATACATTATGAAATGATAATTAGTCCAGAGCGAAGCGAAGGACTATATAATACTACGCTATGTGATAAAATGTGTCTCGTTGTCCGCCCGCTTGACCGATGAGGCGATGTTGATTGGCTGTTTTTGTGTTACTTCTATTTTTGTGTTACAAATA